AAAAAAAAAAATTGTGAAGTCACTCAATGTTTTTTATTACACACCCAAGTGTGCAGACGGGGCGAACCCGGAAGTCACGAGGACCTGCTGTTCAATGGTAGAGACCGGCAACCTAAGCCTGGGGACTTGGAGTGGTAAACCACATAAGGCTCCGGTAGGTTAGGCGTGGTATTGAACCGGGCGACAGCAGAGCTGCCCACCACGAAATTGGGGTGACGGAGGCGGGGCTCGAACCTCGGACCACGGTAACAGCGACTGAACCACCGCACCACCGCCACCTTGGTATATTTAGAGAAGAAGATTAAGAAAGTAAACATTTGTGGGAACTACTTGGTACTGGATCAATTTTCAATGGTCACTTGGGGTGTTTACACACGCGTGTTAGAACAGAGAGCACACGAATACTGCGAGATATTCACATTAACTTTAATCTCCTCAGTCTCTACAACGTGAAACAATCAGGTATTTATACAAGAACGTTTTGATAACTACAGTGCTGAAACTGACAACACTAAACAGTAGGGATATCAGAATCAATGTCAGAAACTTTTGCGCAAACGATACTGGAATGTGTAACTTGAGTAACATCGCTCTACTGAAGGCCTTAAATTCGTGTTGATCAGTGCTTGAACGAGAAAAGTGAGTGAATAATGTGTCCAGTGTTCTTGACACAGTTTGCTATTGATTACTTTGACAATCACTTTGATTGGTGCATTTTCGTGCGTGGGTTTTGATTGCTAACTCTGATCTGTCCATTTGCATGCACGGCAGAATGAAGATCGAGGTGTTGAAACCACAGCCATAGACAAAACAGAGAATTCATCCGCGGACTGGAGTTGCACGGATAATGAATAGGTGCACAAGCGCCACTGTTTGTGACACTCAGCTTTATCACTTAGTGTGTCGCTGTTCACCAGTTACGATAATCCCGAGGTCCCCATCCAGGGAGTTGGACGCCAACTTTTATGACCTTTTGAATGAAAACCAAAATCAGTTTATTTTACACAAATAGTGAATAAAGAATGTTCTTTCACAAAGTCATATGTCACCTCATTCAAACTAGTCACAGTATCGTGAGATATCAGCTGTGTATTGATCCGGTTCTATTTCAATAACGAATCACTATTCACTGCTTTTCTGTGTATGTGACTGGGACACACACACACACTTCCTGGGTAAAGAACGGCCATTTTCAATGGGTAGTCTATGTGGTAATCGTAGTCTGCGAGATAACGCATACACTGGAGCGAAACATTACAGTTTTAGGACACGAATGACGTAAGCAAAGCGCGTGCGTGCCACAGCTTATGGGCTACATACCATAGGTCGATTGTACCAGCCGATCAGAAAGCGTGCGGCCCAGACAGAAGCTGGACAATGCCAGAAATACTATAACGCGGTTGGCAGAGGACCGGATGATCATGAGCTTGTTTTTTTATATATTATTTAATTCCCCTGATTTCTTTCAATAAACGAACTACTACTCCTGTTGCTTTTTCCTCGCGTCTCGGTTACGTGGGATTGTTAATCCGTGACTCGAACTCCGTGATTCGTATTCCGTGGTTCGTATTTAGTGTTCATTGTGTACTACTACTACTACTATTGCTACAACTACAACTACAATTACTACAGTTTACTAGAAATTGGATGGGGAAGTGGTCAGTTCAGTCGATGTTTAGTTGAGATCATAATTATCAACGCGACTGGGTGATCATGCTTCTTATGCGTGCGACTGGTAAGTATGGGTTGTGAAAAGTTGCTCCTGGGCTACGTCACTCCATCTTGCACAAATGGTATGGTACGCGCAAATTTACTATTTCTTGGTTCATTACAACCCAGATGCATACGTATCATTAGTAAATAATTAGTTGGAATTCCCAGATGAAGCAAACCATACTTCTGAGTTCTATCGTATTAAGCAATAAAACCGGCCACGACTTTCATCTAAATATCCTTCGGACTCCGATGCTACTCGGTGAAGCGTACTTGACCCTCAACTTCATCTGGTTCCCATAAACGACCCAACGGACACTCTGGGGCCACAAACATTAATATCTACAGACGATACAAAAACATATGGAAAACAGTGACAAAACCCTGGAAGACTGCTCGCTGGAACGTCAGAGAACACACTTAATGCTGCTTATCAACGGTCGATCGAAAACGACATCGAATTTATTGGATTAAAAATGTACGGTCGTATTTCTTCGCCACAAAACT